TCCTTGGCTTTCTGCTCTAACCGTCACCCCAGTTACCATATTTGGGTGTGTCCACTTTTTGGGGGACCCCCGCAAAATGGTTGGCTCCTGTTGTTGTCCCTGTAAAACAACCAAACAAAGGGGTGCCCTCAAAACAAATACCCGATATGGGGATCCAAAGGTCCTTTACATGGGATGAGCATTGAGAACCACTAAAACGATTATATGTCAACTTTGCTCATGGTCATTTGGAGCAATAACCTACTGAGTTGGTTCATCCAAGGCAACCACATCACTGTCCATGGCTCCTGGTTGGGACTTCTAGACTAGGAGCCTGTCCTTCAGGGTCGTTAGATTTCCTTGAAACATCACCCCATCCAAAGGAAACACACCTCGGGGAGCTCTTGAGGTGGTGAAATTGAAACAACCCTCGCAACAATGTTGTAGTTGTTCACCCCTAAAACAGCTGGTTGCCGTCCTTTAGGTTTCCCTTGAACTACCACCCTCCATTTGCGTTGTTTGTCCCCAGGAACAAGTACGAGAACATATGTCCGGTCGTGATCTAAATGCCAATTCCCTTTAACACCAACAGGGGGAGAAAACAAAATCAAAAAGGGAAGCTGAAAACCCAACACATCTCTTGATTTTTCCGAGGCTTAGATGGAAGTTCCAACTGCGAACCTCCGAGAACGTCCTTGGCTTTCTGCTCGTGAAACAGCCGAAACTTCTCATGGACCTCCTCCTTGGTGAGCGGCGAGGCCTCCAAGGCCTCGGACGCGGCTTCCGGGGGCCGACGCCCGTCGGCCCCGTTTGGAGTGGAGGTCAAATCCCCACGAATCCGGTTTGGGGTGGCTAAAAAAAGGGAAGCTCAAGGGGAAACCAGGTTGGTTGGGTGTTTGGTGGCGCCCTCATGTTGAAATTTTGAGACTTGCTTGTTTTGGGTGTGTCTTCTCGTTTTGGCTGGAACTATTTTTTGGTCGTGTCCTGCTCTGTGTTTGAAGGGTTTCCAACAAAAACGATATCCCGCCTTTGAGGGAGTGCGATGCGTAGAAAATATTAAGTTAACAAACGGATTTCCAAAAAGAGATCCCAGTTGGCCCTCACTTTCTGGCTCGCTCCGACCCATCCGACCCACTCCTCCGCTCCGACCCACGCCATTCCGGCTGTGCCATCCCACCCCTCGCATCCCAGGCGCCTCGCCGGAGCCGTTGGAGGTCCAGGACTGGAACTGATCCAGGGACAAAACCTCCGAGGCGTTGGCCTGCGCATCGCTCCGCGATTTCCGCGAGCCCGGTTCGGCGGATAGAAATCGCTCGCCGGTAGACCTGAGATGCGAATGACTGCCCCCCCAAGTCACAATCCCAGAAGCCAAAGGATATAACATAGTCCAATCGCCGGCCTTTCGCGGCTCGAGTTTTCCCAATCGCGCGGTTCAACAAGTTGCCGCTGTTCATAAGTTTTAGACATGCAATTACGGACGGCCCTCATATAAAGGCTATATGAAGGCTATATCAGGGCTACACAAAGGCTTTACAAGGGTGATACGAGGATGGCTCAATTTCTGCATGGGAATCAACCACCGAACCACCTTAGGACCACCCACCGGCCTAGACATCTATCCATCTTCTGCATTCCATGTCCATTCTCTTCAGGGATCCTTCTCAGAAAATGGGAACACTAAGGGAAATAGTGGCTTCTGAAGAGAAGGACGGGTGAAGAGCATGGCAAATGAACCCTTGAAAAGGGGCCCGCTACCCCTGGCCACATGGTCGTTCTTTGCTACGTGGTATAGGGAAAGGGCATGTGGCTTGTCTCAAAAATAGGGTAAACAGCACACAACTGATGTGGTCTGTCTTGCTTCAATTTCTATCCAGCTGGATTAACCGGAAGAAAACTGGTGGCAGGATGTGTGTTGCGAGGATTTACTCCTGAACCTGGGCTTGTCTTAAAATAGGGACCCCCCAACCGAAAAGAACAACAACCAAGAAGGGTACTTTGTTTGGCTAGAAACAACCCCGACAGGGCACCAACTCTGAACACCCCAAAGGTTCATATATCCATCTGCAGTGCTCTAAACCCTGGCAAGGAAACCAAACATTCAGAGTCGTTCGCCTGCTTTGGTGGTGTGGGAACTGGGATGGTTTCAAGGGAACATGCCCAGGTTGTAGGGTTCCACTAAAGTGGCATCCTCATGTAAAGGGAAAATCCCCACCACCAAAAGCAACTAGTTTGAGAACCCCTGAGCATTGAGGCAAAGAACCCCCCTGTGTTTTCCTGCTTTGTTGGTGGTTTGTGGGAAAACAGCTTTTTTGGGGGGCCGCTTGGGCCGGGGGTGTGAACAAATCCGTGACAACTCGAATTAGCCTTAATTGGCTCTTTGGACTGGTGGTTTGAATAGGTGCTTTTTGGGGTGTGAACCTCTCTTGTAGATGGTTGATGTGAAACCACCCCCTAACCTCTAAATCACTGATGCCAACCACCAATTCGAGGGAGCCGAAATTTGGGGGAGTGCACTAGATCACTAGAGGTACCGGGAGAACTTTCTGGCCCGGTCCTTCCCGGCGACCAGGGACTCCAAGCGCTCGATGCGTTGCAGCACTTCCGCCCTGTTGGAGCCTTCCTGGGCTCCAAAACCCCCATGGGGCGGGCTCAAAATGGGGAAGCTCAGGGAAACCCCCCCGAATGAGTGGGCTCCATTTCAGCAGATCCCTTCGACGGAAACGCGGCTTCAAACAAAGACGCCTCCCAAATGAACACCCCTTTGCCTTTGTTTGAGCAGCCTTTTTTCTTTTTTTTCGGGACCCATAAAACCAAACAAAAAACAGGTCCAAAGTACAGGTGCGGGCTTGGCAAACTGGGTCCCCTCCTCAAATTAACGAAATGGGGGTTGCAAAGAGGAAACAAAAGGACAGAATCCCCCTCTACTCCAATGTAAATGAACATGAACCCAGAAACCCATGATTTGTAGCGGAGATTCTACTTTTGGGGGAGCCCGCCTCTTGGGGTCTCATGTGAACTTGCAGAGGAATTGGCCTCACCTCGGTGGATTTGCCAAAACAAGTCTGGGCTTTTTTGCTTACCACTGACAGTCCAAACCAAGCAGTCTGAAATTTAGGATCTCGGGGAGGACGGCACTGGTATATGATTACCACCAAACTGAAGCTAAACAGGACACCTATGAGCCTATGAGAATGGGTACGCACCCATGTTAGGCTGGTTGGTTTTGAAGAAACTCCGAAGCAGGTGACAAGCCAGGCACGCCCGCTTTGAGCCAGCAAACATGGGCATCCATCCCAGTGAACGAACTTGCGCAACGGGATGCCATTTGCTAAAAACACAAGACACGCGACGGAGCGCTTTGCGCGATCCGCTGGTTGCGGCCGGGCATCTTTGGGCCCTTTGGCTGCCCCCAGCGCGCAAAGCGCGAGCGCAAGCGGCCAGAGCGGAGCCATCCGAGTTCAGGGGAGCGTGAGGCAAGCTGAAAGGGAGGCTCAGGCAAGCCAACTGGATATGCCATGAACGCAAGCTTGAAGCCAAGCTGAACATGAACTTGATTCTGGAAATCTGCGGGAGGTAGGGAGGATGAACAAACCAGAGGCAGAAATTGATTCAAAGACAGGTCCAAGCCGCTTGGATATTTGGGAAGACAAGATGCCAAGCTCTGCAGTCTGATCCGCCAAATGCTCGGCAAAATTCTGCTCTTGGGTCTTCGCTGGAGCCAAAGGCTAAATACCGACGTCAAGTCGTGGCCCGAAAAAGAGGATCCACAAACAAGTTGTGGCCGGCCTGGATTCACCGACCAGCCAGCCAGCCAGCCAGCCAACCAACCAATTAGCCAGCCAGCCAGCCTCCCCTTTTCGACACAGCCTCCGGGGGAGCTTGATGGGCGACGTATTTGACCTGGAACGCTGAGTAAACGCCCAGGGGCTTCCTTGCAAATGCTGTGAAAGCCAAGCACGAAGCTTCCCAGCCCCATGTTCCGCCGCGAAAGCAGGGCTCTTTGTTTCCCATTTGCTTTCCTTCAAAATCCGGGAAGATCTCAACTATTTTTTTGGGAAGCAACCGTGATAGGCGGCCTGTCTGGGTTGCCTGGAAATTGGCCTTGAGCCCTAAGCAAGTGTCAACATGGGATCAACCTGGAGGGCTAGTGCTTCCCACTTGAGGGGCGGCGGGGGGTGTCCTTCGCAGAACACAAATACACTTGCGGGTTGATCAAAAGGTGCTTTACATGGGATGACCATTGAAGGAAAAGAACACACTAAACCTATCCGATATTTCCCAGGGAAACAAACAACTGCCCATGGTCATTTGGGGGACCACTTGAAGCCATTAATCAAAATTCCTGCGCGCCATTGTCATGTATCCTAGGAGCCTGATACATTGGGTCTGTCTTTTTTGAGGGTGCGCCTTTTATTTGCAGTGCAAACAGGAACACCGCCCATTCTAGGGATTCTCACATTTTAAGACAAACTGACCTGTTCAGTTGACTGACCAGCAACAGTTTAAACTTCCTGGGCCTTGGTCAAATGATAGTGACAACCTTGTCAACAAAACTCGGCGCTTGCCAGGGTTTCTCAAAAAACGTGGCCCCCTAAAGTGCTTGTTGTCCTTTGAGTGTTCCATCAAACCTCCTGAAGTGCTTGTTTTCCTTTGAGTGTTCCATCAAACCTCCTGAAGTGCTTGTTTTCCTTTGAGTGTTCCATCAAACCCTGAAGCGCTTGTTTTCCTTTGAGTGTTCCTTCAAACCTCATGAAGCGCTTGTTTCCTCTGAGTGTTTCTTCAAACCTCATGAAGCGCTTGTTTTTCTCCTTTGAGTGTTCCTTCAAATGCCAACCAGGGTGCAGAATCCATGTTGAAAAGGAAAACATCCCAGCGAACATCCCAATCCCAACTAAAATGGGTGGTGCACCCACCCCAAAATGGTAACATTGGTTTTGACCCACAGCCAAATACCAACCAGGGTGCGGAGGAACACTCCCCGACTTCGGCTCCGCCCATTTCCCAGGCCCCCCGGAGCTGTCCTCCTCCTCCCTGCGCTTCTTCTCGCCCTCCTGCTGCTTTCGCATGGCCTTGGCTCTGAGAAGGGTTCCCCAAGAAACGAACGCGTCTTCCTTCATTTTCTTAAGTCCCCTGGAAAAAGAATGAGAACATATTTCCAGTAGTGATAGTTTCCCTTTAAAACCAACAGAAGATTAAAAAAAATAAAAATCTTAACCAAATGGACGTCTTGTAGGGGAAATCCCCAAATGGCTTCGATTTCATTTGTCCCTTGGACCACCCCACAACCCCCCCCCCACCAAAAAAAGAAAGAAACAGAACAAGATTTAAGGGCATGCTCTTTGTAAGTAGTGGAATAGGTGCTTGTGTATTCCATTAGGACACGCACCATCGTACCTAGGGTTCAACGTTCAACCCCCATTCAAAGCAAGGTTGACTCAAGTTGAATGGTCACCATCCTTAGGCCAAAAAACGTGGTCCCCATTGTTTTAATGGTTGGAATCCCAGGGCTTAGACTAGAGTCCGTGTAGAACTCGTCACGCCCACTCCAAACCGAGGCCCGCGCCGCGCCGCGCTTCTCGCGCTGCCGCTGCTTCGCCTCCTCCCGGCGCTTCTGCTCCGCCTCAGCCGCCCCGGCCGCCCGCGCGCGAAGAGCTCAGGCCAGCGGCCCCATTTGTCCCATTAAGAGTGGCTCTCCCGAGGGACACCCCCGGTCTTTCCCCCAGCCCTCTGTGGTTTTGATTGATTTTGCCACCTCCTTCTGGCAGGGGCTGTCTAACTAATTGAGTCATGGGGCAAAATCCAAATCGTACCCCCAGTGAACATCCCAATCCAACCACTAAAATAGGTTCTAAAACGGGTGGCGAATTCACCTACCCCAAATGGGATCCCATTGGTTCTGACCCATAGCCATTTGAGTCATAATCAAAACCCGGAAAAACGATCTACCCAGAAGCATGTAAAGGACTAAGAAGGCGGCCGCAACCATTTATGGTTGGAATTGCCCCTTACTAACCTTCATCTACCCGGGTTTTGACTGCGGCTCATTTGGATGTTGCTAGGCGACACACTGTTCCCAGGCTGGGTGTTTGGTGGTGAATGTGTTCTATGATTGCGAGATCAGCTTTTGAACATCGAACAAACAAACTGCTGGGACACTGCTTGCTTGGGACCCGCTTAGCATGCCTCTGCGAGAACATCTACATTTGTGGGGGAAATTCATGGACATTGTAGGCAACGTTTTACATGCCCCTGTGGATTGCACCAAGTGTCCAGCCCTCTTTAACACTTTCCAAGATAAATTCACGCATGTGTTTGTCTCACAATCGGAACTGTCGAAGATGGCTTCCTTTTGGTTTCCCAAACTAACTCCTCAAAAGTTGGTACCCAACAAGAAAAGACACACCCGGGTTGTCCCCCGGGCCTTAAAAACCAAAAACAAAAAAGGCACGGCGTCCGCCTCTGCGAAGTCTCGCTCCGCGCGCGAACGCTGCTCTTCCTTGGCGTCGGCGATTCGCTGGGCCAGCGGTTCAAAAAGCACCGCATGTCAGAAGTTGGTGGTTTAAAGGCTATAAATAAGTTGATCACATTGATAACCACTATATCACATATTCATAGAAGTTGGTGTCAAATTGTTTGAACACAACTAATAGTCTATGAATAGTATGACCCCTGATTAACCCAGCAAGGCAATTAATGGCAGGCGTAATAGGTAGCGGCCGATATTCAACGTCTAGGCGGTGTTCCCTTGACCCAAAGGAAACTCATAGACAATTGGTCCAGCAAGAAATGATTAAACTGGCTTAGAAGGGAAATCCTAAAAACTCCTGTCATCACGCAAAGGGACAGAGGGACAAGTGTTGGGACATCAGTTGGGGATTGTGCAAATGACTTCTCGTGAAAACTGACCTTCCGCCGCCCTTCCTCAAACCTTCCGCGCCCATTGTAAATCTACACACAAGTCATCACTGGTTGTCGATCAATGCTTTCGGGTACTGGCCCTTCCGCATCTCGTTTTAGCGCGCGCTGTGGGAAGCTCTGCCATGTAAGCCTGGAATTCGGAATACTAACCGAATGCATGGGTTTCAGCACGACACCCAGTTGTGTACAGGAAAGTAGCCTTTCCTTCAGAGGCGTCCGTTTAGGTCATCTTGCGCGAACGACAGTGGAACGGGGTCTAATGATTTGCCGAAAGAGGATATCGCGAGCTTTTGTGTGTCAGCACCATGTCAGTTTCAAAACAGCAAACACAACATACTCATCAACAAGCTCCATGACCTCTTGCTAGCAAGAAGCGGAGGTTTCGTTTTTTCGGGATGGAAAAAGGCAGGGGCTTTCCTTTCATCTTTAGCCCAAGTCCAGCCACAGGGGAACTCTGTGTCTAAGTTGGCCTTCCTACTGTGTTGGCTCCTTTAGCGCCGAACGGAGGGACACATTTGGGCTTTTGCAGGATTCCCTGGTAGCCGAATGAACAGCCACCCTCATCTGCGCCAATAGCGACTGGTGACTCCCCCTTTTCAGGCCCCTTCAAGGAGCCCTTGTGGGGAGTGAAACAAAGTCAAACCTCGGAATGCGGGTCTTGGGACTCCCCACAAGTAGTTGTTCTCCCCTTGGTGGTCATACAGGAAGTGGCCAGTTCGGTGCAAAATGTGAGCTTCAAACCTAATATGGGTATCTCTCAGCAGTCGGTTTCCTCTTCAACACCGACTTAAAAAAAACGGTCCCCCGAAAAAGGCGCACCCAAAAAACGACCTGCGCATCCAGATCTGCTTAGAGGCAGCTTGCTGCATCTCCTGCTCCATCCGCTTCCGCTCCTCCGCCGCCTTGGAGCGCTCCCTCTCCGCCTTCCGCCGCCCTGGAGCGCGGGCGTGGGTTCCCGAAAGACATTGGGGGGCGAGTGAGGAGTGACGTATCAAACAATTCCTCACATTTGTCTAATCTTAGTGGTTCATTGACAGCAGATTCCCAGTGAATCCCGAAAGAAAAAAAAAAAGAGGATTAATAGGTCCGCCCAAAAACACATGGACGTAGCCCTCAGAAAGGTCCTGTTCCTCTGCTGCCACTGTACTCACCACTCAGCACAGCTGAGGGATCAAGCTTCAATGAACCCAGAAGCAGCAGCAGCAGCAGCAGCAGCAGCAGCAGCAGCAGTACTAGTAGTGGGAGTAGCAAGGATAGTAGGAGCACCAGGACCTTGCTACTAACATGCTAACTGTCCTGGACGCTAAATCACTCACTAATTACTATCTTACTGAAATGCTAAGTTGCTAATTTATTAACTTGCTACTGCCCCTCCCTCCAGCTCCGATAGCTTGCTGCCCTTCCAGCTCCACGCCGGATATTAACGCCGAAACACTATGAAAACACTATAGCTATCTTTATCTTTCTTACGTTGCTTCCTTTTCTTTCGTTCCTTATTTCTGTCTCTTTCTCTTTGTCTCGTTCTTGATCTTCCTACCGCTCTTTCTCTGAGCTACCTACTGATGTATTCAGCACGCATCGGTCTATCCATCTATCAATATCCGTCTAACCATCGGATATCCATCAATGGATCAACCTATCTATCTATAATCAGTGCATCCATCTATCGCATCTCTCTACAACCCGCCTGCCACGAATCTATATCTCACCTTCTGAAAGCGCTGTGCCTGACACGCAAACTAATGTCACGAAAAAAGAAGAAAAAAAAACAAAAAAGCGCGCGCGCCCCTGTCCGGCTCAAAGAGAGCGTTCCGAATTCGCTGCGAACGTGTTCCGAGCCTGCTCTGACCAGGCGTCGCGACCAGGCTGACCTTCAACTACCCCCACATGCATTTTGTTCGGTGTGCTATTGTTCTCTTGTCATCGGGAAGAGACTAGCTTTCAATTAGTTGTCTCTAAACTTCCTTTGACTACCTTTCCGACTACCTGCTCCTTTCTGTGGTCCGGGATATTTTATTGATCCTGAATTGTAAGTTTAATTCTTAATTTTGTGTTAAGTTAATGAGTATGCCCTTCAGCCCCCGCGTATCAAGTTAGCCTACATGTCTAAGCTGTTGAACATCAGCCCACCACAAGCAAGCTCACTTCATTTGTTGTTTTCCAAAAGGTGATGTTCAAAAAAGGTGCCCTTTTTCTGACGATGCTTTGTGGGGCTCTTTGAAACGGAAACCAACGGGAAGCCCAGCTTCCAAAAGAAGTTGCTCCGACTGAACCCCTGCAAACGCTACCCCCGCCTGCTTCGTCCCGGTACAATGCATCCTCCGCGGCCTTGCGGCTCTGCTCCATGATGTCCTCCAGTTTCAGTGACTTTCGGCTCCATGACTCCACAGGCCTTACTCTAACCTTTCTGAAACCGGAGCCTAAAATGGCGACCAGGCATCGATTCGACTTTGGGCGCTTCACTGAACTCGGCCGCGAAAAATCGGGCCGGAGCGAAGTTCCTTGGAAAGAACGGGCACGTGTGTTTGGTGGTAGGCACATGTAAGTCGACGGGCAAACAAAAACATTGAACTAAGGGGGGCCCGTGAAGGTGTTAGACCAGGGCACTTTGGCTTGCTAATTTCTGCAGTGAAACCCCCAAAAGGGAGAACAAAAACAGAGATTGCTTGAGGTTCTACCCAATGGAGCCTACTTGCCAGTCATGACTCTAGAATCAGCGCAGAAAGCAACTCCCCCGAAATAGGATTCCAACACCTCGAAACGTCTCGCTGGGAGTACAATTCAAGAGCGGTTCATGCGACCCGACAACAATTCCCGAGTCTAACTCCTCCAAATCACATCAAATCACGAGCTACACAAACTCTCAAACTTGCCAAACATAACGGACAAACAAAAATACTATAAAGTAGTAGTTGGATTGGTATGCCATCTAGGCTTTGAACCATGCTCCTATTCCGAAAGACATGCTTGTTGGACTTGAGCTCATAGCACGACAACGCGTCTACCACTCTCTTTGTGCTTACAATGTACAACCCCAAAAGCATACACAAAAAACAATGGCCCGCGTTGAGATATTTTGCGACCAACCCTCTGCTTGTTCCCAGCCTCGAACGGCATGTCGTCCCTATCCCGGTCCACCTCATAGCCTTCGTAGCCCTCGCCCTCGTACTCGTAGGCGCCTTCCGGGCTTCTCCTGAGAGCCGTTGAGGTGCATTCGTCTTTCACATTGATGGGCCCAGAACACCAGCTGAGTGACTCCAGTCTCATGCATGCGGGGTTCTCCGCTTTTTGAAATGCCTTCCGACACAGTGACCCAAACATTTGGACTCCCGAAACATTGCAAGTGAACCAAAGACGTGCCCCCTTGCCCTCCTAGTTGCAATTGTCCGGTCCATGCAAGTATGAATTTTAGTTGGGGACCCTTTGGCCCCACTAAATGTCCACCAAACATTTTGACTTTTCAGGAGATGCCAACTCTTGAAAATAATATTCAAAGCCATGTGAGGCACTCTGCGGGCTTCTCCGTGAGTCTACGCCACGCGCCGAGCGGCTCACGGAAGGTAGCGGTGCTCGCGCCCATGCCCGGCATGCTGCGTGGGCCTAGGCATCAGGCTTCGCTACAACCCCTGCAGCGGTGATTGCCCCCCGCAAGTCCCAAATGGGCTTGATTTTGTATTCAGGAATCTTTGGTGGACATCATTAGACAGGGAATGGGAGCAGCCGATTTAGAGAGGTTGTAACCATGATTGTAACTGGGGCTTCGTCCCTTGTAACCCCAGACCTCCGGTGCACATGGGAGAAAGGGGGCACCTTTCTTGGTAGTGATTTCCACAGTACCCCTCCAAAAATATACAAGAACACCATTTGCTGGTGCTCAGCAGGGAATGTGGGAATGAACCTGGGGCCCAGGTCTCCTGAAAGGAAACCAGCAGTTGCACGGTTTCTCTGGTCATTCCATTTCTCATTCCCTGCATCTCTCGCCGCAAGACGAAACCCCCACTGGAGGTCTGGGATAGGAAGCCAGGGCTTAGGCCCGCACTCTGCTCGTAGCTGGGCCCGCCCCGCCGAGGGCTGGAGTCCTGATGCGAGCGCCCACCGCAGAAGAAGGCCCGCGGTTGCAACCAAAACCACCCAGGCACACAAAAGGTCGCTCCCCTGAAGTGTTTGCATGGATCTCAAACTCAGATGCCCAGTGGCCCTGGAAAAAGAGAGCATCATTTCTTGTTGGTTGACTTTAAAGAAATCGGAACCCTCCCCCCCAAAAAAGAAAACAAGGCACCACTGGGCAACTGGGCAAAAAGAAGGGCTCCTAACAGGAGATTCGCTCAACAACAATGGTTGTCCGAGCATACGAGGGTAATCTTTTGAACATTCGAGTTGACTAGAACCGTATCAAAGTTGGAAAGCAACATCTCCACTAGGTTGATTCTCTTTGGGCAACTAAGGGCCCCCTTGAAAAGGCAACTGCGCAGGGCAGTTGAACCAAGGCGCGGGTCAACAAATCATCAAACCGAGTTGACAGTGTGTTCGACCTACGGCCCCGAATTGGTGGCTTGAATTGGAGCTTTGGAGGGCAAGCGGCACTGGTTCAAGTCCCCAAGCCACGCAGCTGGGGCAACGTCATCTTGGGGCACTTCTTTTTGATTGAAATTGCTTTGCGGAAGAAACAAAAACTCAGGCCAACTGACAGCGGCGATCAAACCCCTCCCCACCTGGCTGACAAAGCCGCCTGAATCGCGATTCGCATCGGGTTCTGCCCACATTGCCCAACATGAAAACCAAACAGAAATCGAACAGATCCCTTGGAGGGGGGGGGCATTTTGGCTCAAAAGGGAAACTTTGCCACCTCTCTCGGGCGGCTTTCATGCCTGAATTGGCACCAACTCGCGATTGCACAGTTGTTCGTTGCTGAAAGCAAGCTCGGATGACTCAGCCCCTGGTTGATTGAACAAGGACAATTCAACGAAGGGGTGGAACTGCCAGACGTTTTCATGTCTTTTGCATTCACCTCTTTACCGTTTCTTCAGACTGGGAACCCACGCGTTGTTTGTCCACCCCAGCCGGGAACAGCGAGCTACGTAGATGAATAGACACAATACACCCATCATTTGGGCGTGCCTCAATGAGCGAGCGGTTGTGCAATCCACGTAGTAAGTAGGTCTTGAGCAGGATCATAGGTGGGGTAATTCTGTGGATGGACCAAATCCTGCACCACTTTGAAAACTTGGAAAACCATTGCTTGTCTGCATTTACAGGGGAATCATTCTTCAAGGGTTTCTTAGGGGGTGCAGGATGTCATCCATCCACAGTTGCTTTCCACATAATAGTGCTAAGCTTTCTCAGCTACTCATTAAGTGAGTAAGTATATATGACATTTCATTGGGGATCTACCGGAGCATACTGAGCATTGCGCAATCATGTTGTAAAACGACTGCTAACTAGTGGGAAACGCTACATTTTCCAGGCAAGAGTCAAACGTGCAACCAAAATGGGGGGGAGGGGGTTGAGGGTACAGTACTTGTTTTTTTGGCGGGATGGTTGAGGCAAAAACCAACAGGACAACCGCAAATATTTGGGTCCACGCATTTGCACACGTACTCAAGTAGCATTCAAACAAAGTGAACAAGCTTCGTGTGGCACTGCCTGGCCCCAGCATGGGCCGCGCGTAGCTCGGCGCGGCGCGGCCCGCGGGAATTGCCCCTGCCACACGAGTTGGTCGGTTGGCCCTTTTTTTGTCTTGGGACCAGCCTGGCACCCAAGAGGAAACCTGCACTTTTTAGGGCCAATCCTCAGTTGCTCAAGGGGCCCAGAAACAAAAGCTTGACCTTTTGCAAATTTCACCAAATATTTGATCAAATATGGAGCTTGACCTTTTGCAAAATTAACCAACTTGACCCAAAAACCTGAGCAAAACTGAACACCAAACGGTCCAAAAGTTTTTGATTCGGACACCCAAGGAAAAAAAAAAACGGCCCTTGGAAACCCCAGCGGTAAAAAACGAAAACCTGCTGCTGGGCATCCATCTGCTCCATTGGGGTTATAGGGTTCCGCACATTACAGCATGACATGCTAGCACGGTGTCAAGCCCAAACAAACAGCTAAGCTAAGAATTGGCCAATTCAGGCACTTCCATTTGCTTGAGCCCCCTGGAAACAAATCCAGCAGTGATAGATTCCGTTTCAATCCAAAAAGGGGGAACACATATTCTTTTCAGCAATTGGATGGGTGGACATGCGCCAAAGTCATACTCAGCAACTCCTTTTCTGTAGGATTTTTTCGGTGAGTATCACCTTTGGCTTCCTCCGGGTTGTTTAACGTGTTTCTCGAAATAGGGTCCCAACACACCTGGCTGATTCCTGTTGGCTTCGCTTTGAACTGCACACCAAAAGGGGTCCACCATTTGAGAAACCCCCATTTAATGTTCCCGTTTTGTTATAAGAAAGGATGGTGAATGCAAACCGTCGCTCACAACACTTACACCAACTTGCACCTGCTTCCCGGCGGTTCCTTCTTTCCTCCAAAACCAAGGCGTGCTCCAGCTTGGACAAACGTTCCCTTACCATGTCTGAAGCTGACTGCTTGCCAGTGAGCTGCAACCTTCGACCCCTTCTCCACTGTGACAGAACTGGGATGGTCACGTTTCCCAATGGACTTCAATCTGGAAGGCACAGGCTTCCTATCTCAGTGAGAGAAGCTGCGATGGTCACGCTTGTCAATGAACTGCAACCGCGGAAGGCACCAGACCGTATTGCAGTCACGGAATCGGGGATGGTCACGCTTTCCAATGAGATGCAAAATTCGAAGGACATTTCTCAAATCACTGTGAAAGAACTGGGATCGTCACGTTTCCCGATGAACTTCAATCTGGAAGGCACAGCTTCCTATCTCAGTGACAGAAGCTGGGATGGTCACGCTTGTCAATGAAATGCAACCGCGGAAGGCACCAAACCGTATCGCAGTCACGGAATCGGGGATGGTCACGCTTGCCAATGAGCTGCAACCTTCGAAGGCCCTTTCTCCAATCAGTGTGACAGAATTGGGAATGGTCACGTTTTCCAATGAGCTGCAACCTTTAAAGGCACTTGCTCCAACAACACAGACAGAATCCGGGATGATCACGTTTGTCAATGAAATGCAACCACGGAAGGCACCAACCCGTATCTCAGTCAGGAAGTCGGGGATGGTCACGCTTGTCAATGAGCTGCAATCATTGAAGGCCAGTTCTTCAATGTCAGTGACGGAGCTGGGGATGGTCACATTTTCCAATAAGCTGCAGCCTTTGAAAGCACGTTCTCCAATCAGAGTGACAGAATTGGGGATGGTCACGCTTACCAATGAGCTGCAATCGCGGCAGGCACCAAACCCGAGCACAGTTACAGAACTGGGGATCGTTACATTTTGTAATGAGCTGCAACCGTCGAAAGCAAGCTTGCTAATCAGAGTGACAGAATTGGGAATGGTCACATTTTCCAATGAGCTGCAACCTTTGAAAGCACGTTCTCCAATCAGAGCGACAGAATTGGGGATGGTCACGCTTACCAATGAGCTGCAATCGCGGAAGGCACCAAACCCGAGCACAGTCACAGAACTGGGGATCGTGACATTTTGTAATGAGCTGCAACCGTCGAAGGCATTTGGGCCAACCGCAGTGACGGAATTGGGGATGGTTACGCTTGCCAATGAGCTGCAAGCGCGGAAGGCACCAACCTCCACCTCAGTCGCGCCTTCTGGAATTATCACTACCAGTAACTCTTCCAGCTCACAGCCGGATGCTGAGAAGCTTGAGCACGTCACAGGCTTGATGCTGAGGAAAGCCACAACTTCGGCACCTGGAATGGCCTCCGACACCATCTCCTCATTGTTCATCAAGGACCTATCTCCAACAACGACCTCCACCGAGCTCATGTTGCGAAATGATTCATCTGCACAGGGCAGCCACCCATGCAGCTGCCTCTTGAACTCTCGGACAGTCATGTCTGTCAGCACTTCAAATGCCTCATCTGCCCCAGACAGCTGGCGCACCGCAATCTTTCTTGCCATGGCAAACTTATTCTTGGCTACCAACTGCTGGTTGAAATGAGCTTCGGCATAACTAGCTTCTGCCAAGAGCAAGCCGGCGGCGTTTCGGCTTGTTGACTTGTCCAGCTTTGTCTAGCTGCGTGCGGCTTTGACTTGAGCGCTACACCACTTGGCCCCAATTCTTTGTTTTCGGACCCCAAACAAAACGCCACTTGAAGGGTGGCAACCCACTGAACAACTGGGAAGCACTGCGTCCTCAACCTTTAAGCCAACCCTTTTCTACATGCATGTCAAATGTGGGGCTTGGGGGCTTGGGGGCTTGGGGGCTTGGGGGGGAGGGAAAAGTACGAAAACACGCTCCATCCCCGTTCGGCCCGGGCTCCTCGGCTCACGGAAACTGGCATCCACGGTGCCTTTTCAGGGGATCCGAAATGTTGGTTTGCCTTTGGGGTGTCCCGTGCAAAACCGCCAAACAAGAGGTACCACAAGAAAAACACACACACACACATCCATCTAGTTTGCCTGAAAACAGGAGCTCCAAACAAACATCAACTACGGGCCGAGAAGGTGATGTCCGAGAGGAGCTGAGAACGGCCTCCCCGCAACCCCCAAAAGACATATTGAGAAACTGGCTTCAACCTCAAAGCACGTGAGCGGCGCCGAAAACCAGGTACATCAAACCCTCTAGAGGACCACTTTCGCGGAACCAGTCGCGATGGTTTCGCGGCCACGCGTTTCACTTTCGCAGGCATGTGCTCTTTAAGGATGGCTTTCGTGGAATTTGGCGGCATGGATGTCAGCTGAGCTCAAAAGGGACTTGACGCTGTCCACAATGACCGGCACAGCCCGCCTCACAAGCCCGACATGGGAGCCAAAATCCGACACAAACGCCGCAAACCATTGCGCGACGCTTTCGCGGCGGGCTCTGCTAAGCTTTCGCGGGCGTCTTCGAGCGCCCTACGGTTTAGCTTTCGCAAGGCATCGTTAGGAGAGGCCCTCAATCAGCAATTTCCATCGTTTCATCAGCTTTTGGGCGCTGCTCGCGTGAAACTTGCTACGCGGCCCATGGCTCCCACCCGACCTCCGACCTCCGACCTCCGACCCCGATGAGTCGAGCGCCTGGGCGGGGCCACTCCCGGCCCGTGACCGGGTCCAGGTCGAAGCGCGTGGTCTCCGGGCGCGCGTGGCCGGGGCTCCAGTGCCGCGCGGTCCTTAAAGAGTGGCGCCCGGGACCCGAGTCCGTCACTTCAGCGGGTTTTGGTGGTTCGGTTTCAGGGCTGTGGGAAATGGAATCCACGTCTCTGATACAAAATGGGTTTCCCGGAAGACAAACCCCTCATAGAAAGGGGGAGAGTCCCAAAAGTAGCACAGAAGTGGTTGGAAGAACCCCGAGCGATCGGTTGCATTTGGCTCATTTGGTGGTTCAGTTTTGTTCTGTAAGCCCTCTCAATTGCTTAAAGTCCGCTGCTCGCCTTGGACCTGAACATGAAAGCTGGCCTTTTGGAAGAGTGATCAAACACGGACCGGCACTGGCAAGCCGAAGGATTAAATGGTCGGCTAAGGGCAAGTGGGTAACACTCGAAAAATCAGGGGTGTGCCTATCACCTTAATGTCAAGCGATCGCAAAGTCCAAAGCAGGCTGATAACTACCCCTTCACGCACTCCATGCTTAGCAGATCAACCATATTTGGGTGTGTAGTTGGGAAGTCGTTTGAATCCGGATTTCGCAACATACAGGTTCGTCAAAACCCGAGACCTCTCCAAATGCTTGGTCGCCGTGTTGATTTCAACATGAATCTCTCCACATCACTAGTCAGGGTTCCTTACATTATACACCTACACATTGCCTTGTAAATGGTGGTTTCCCTTTATTTTCGCGGAACAAGCCATGCTTCAACTGGCCAAAATGTATCTTTTAAGGAGCCCTGCTAGTCTTTCCATATTTCCCAAAATGACTTGGGATGCTAAACATGGGGAGGGTTGGCCAACCCCATCATCCACAACTCAGTGACGCTGGCCGAAAACAAGAGAATATGGTCGTGTCTCAAACAAACAATCTTCCCTTGAAAGCAACCAACCAAGAAAAACATGCCAACTCCCAAACAACTGCACCAATATACCTCAGCTTTTGCCCAGTGCCCCACCAAACAATATAATTGATTGTGGTCCATATGTAGAGAATGCAACACAATCTTAACAAACAAGATTCCAGGGGTGCAAAATAAGGCCCCCCAAAAAAACACGACGAAGAAGAACCAAACAAAACGACAGGACGGCTTTCTCTTGGTGTCCCAATCAATTAACCCAACAACAAGCAGCCCAGGCAAGAGCCTCCCAGCTCTCTCCAGGCGTCATCACTGCCGCTGGGTCCATCTGGAATCGCCCAGCCTCCGGCCCATAGATGGCCCCCTCCTCCTGCAGCTGCATCCGCGCCTGGATGGGCGCGTAGCCTGCCTCGGGCTTGGAGGGGGCTTCGGGTCGTTTGTTGCCCCAAAAAGGGTCCTTGTTTCAGGTTGCTCGACATTTTGTCGGGCTAAAAACACCAAAAAAACAGCCAAACATATGGAAACTACCCCTCCAACCGCTTGCCTTCCTTTTGGTCTTTCACATGTTGGTTTTCTTTTGGTTTGGAACCTGACTTGCCGAAGAAGCTCCTTGCCGCGAACCCAAGGCTGCCCTCTGGTCTCCTGTTGGTTTCAAAGATTAGAAACTCACTGGGCAAAGGGCATTTCTTTTGTTTTGCTTTTGTTTTGGAGACCCATCCTTTTGTTCGTTTCACATGGAGAGCAAATTTCAAAGGAAAGCAGCCATTTTGAGGATTCCCTTGCTTTCAGCCACACCCAGCTTCAACAAACAGGGCGACCCTTCATAATGCATGGGTGTCTGTCTTCTCCTTTCAAACGATGTCAAAGGGAAGCTTCCCACAACAACAAATAGTAGTGTGCCTCTTTTCTCGGTAGACTGCCTCGAATCAGCATGCTCATGAAAGTTTACTGTCAGGGCGGTGACAACTATGGTCCTATGGTGGTACCATGGTTAGTTCCCAACCAGCATTGTTCCGGAAGTTCCCTCCGGAAGCAATGATGATATTCCGAAAAGGACGCAATGCCGGCATTGTGAAGTTTGTTCAGAAGCCTGAAACAACCCCCAAATCGGTCACAGCGCAAAACTTGTGCGAGGTCGCCGTAGTTTCCCAGATTCCCAACCTCCCCTCCGTGCTGAATCCTCACCTAAACTCCCCAACCTCCCGCAGCTTCCCTCCACTTTCAGTGGTTTCCCATTTATATCCATTTATCCTCTACAAGAACCAGGGCTTCAAAGCCAAACCACCAACCTGACAGGTTCCCGACTCCCCTTCCTCTCCGCGCTGTCTTTCCTTTAGCCAAGCCGCACGGGGCACGGGGCTGCCGCTATGAGGCCTGGCCTCGCGTATGGGTCGCGCGCCAGGTGCAAGAAACGAGAGCTTGGCGCAGAATAGGGGACACCAAAGTCACCAAGTGGTCCGTTTCCTTTAGTAAAATTTAGGCTCCCTTTAAACCAAGCCAACCCAAAAGGCCGCCCCTCAACAAAAATCAATTTCAAGTGAGTCTTTCCCACACCTCGCACATAGCCGGCATCCCCCCGCCTGCGCCCCCGCGGGTGCCGGCGCCGGCGGCACTGCACGGGGCGGCGTGCCCGTCCGAGACTTGGCACGCTGCTCCCGGCGTTCCTGGGCTTAGCTTCTTTGGTACGGCCGAAATTCTTAGCATGAGGTTGGCTACTCTGACCCAAGACTCTGGGAGTCTTCTATTAGCCACTTAGGCCCTATCATCTGCATGCCTTGAACATAGGCGACACAACACTCAAAAGATGTGTAAGTTGTCAATGGTGTTTGAAAGTTGGCTTCCCTTCAGTGCAGTCCTGAAAAAGAATCATACCAATCTGTTGCGCTCGGCTTCAGCTTAGCTTTGCCGGTGGCATTTTGGACAGGGGCGGTGCTCGACTGGTTAGCCTTAAGAGGACATGGCATGGAGCAATCTGGGTACTCTGGCTTTTGCCCGATGCCCTCAACCTCAGTTTAACGCTCCCTCCATACGAAGCTGGCAAAAAGCTGATTTCACCCCCCCCCCCCCCCATGTTGCTGAGCCAACAAACCAGACCAAACGAGGTGCACCTCCGGCCGTCCTCCAGACAATATGACCATCAAAGACCAGTAAGGCACTGTCCAAAACCAAAGTGACAATACCTGGACAAAGCACCATACATCACCCACTTGATGCCCACTTGTTTTGCCTCCGAACCGGTGAACGCCCAAACATCATATTGTTAGCTCCTGTATGATCCAATGCTTGAACAATAAAACTAGCAGGGATGCGGAGGAAGTGGGAATACAGGAGAACTCTGTTGGCGCCATGTACCTGCAAACTAAGTATCGGTGCTTGTCAGCGGCATCTTGGTCCAAAGTATTAACATACGGTGAGCCCAAAACGAGGTGGATTTCCGCTTTGCACTCCCGTCAACCTGATAAAAAAGGTATCCTCAATACACATATGGATATGAATATCTGGATATGGATGCGAGGGTTGATCAAGATTCCTGGCCCCCAAACGACCCCAGGTAACTTTTCCCAAGCGGGACATATCGGATCAGCTTGGTGTTCCAGCCAATGCATCCAAAGTAATCTTGCTGGCGCTCAGGGATTCCTTTTAAGGTTCTCTTTCAGGACTGCACTGAAGCAATAGTTCAACTCGATTGCTTTCTGCTCCCCTGCTAAAAGTTTGACTTTTAGTGCTTAATGCAATGAAAACCCACTAGTTGGCAACAAGTTAAAGTCCTAACATCCAGGCAAAATGCAGCAAAGAAAGTTGTCTCATTCCCTTCCTATCCTTGGTTGACGTTGGAAGGGGAGCAAAAACTGATTCTTGCAGTTCAGTGGGGATTTTCCACTAGATCACAATGAGCAAACATGTAAAATGTTTCCCAACAACAACCATGAATTCAGAAGTAAGTAACTCACAGGGGCCGTTTTCTACCAGCCCAGCTGCAAGAACGACCTCTGCCAAAGCTTGGCCCGACTACAGCACAGAAGTAGTGATAGAATTCCGATTAAAACCAACAAGGGAAAATAAGAACATATTCTTGAACATATTCTTTCAGCAAATGGAAGATTCCCTTCCGATCGCACCAAGTAATTTGCTTCGCCGACTAACTCGGTGCTTCGCGTTTCGAGCGTCGATGAGCTGCTGCACGCGCCGCTCCAGCGCCTGGCTCCGCAGCAGCTCCCCTGCGGAGCGAGAAGCTGAGCCACGAGTCGCGTGTGGCCTCCTGGTGGCCTACAGACAGTCAGCCCAATCAGAACATATGACACTATAGCCATATCACATATATATATATATGGATTACATATTATTATTGTCTTTGTTTTTTCGTGTTTCCGATGGTTCCCTTTCTAGGGTGGTTTACAGCGGAACTCAAGACACCTGGCGGCAATCAGCGAGCATACTTCATACCTACGCTCAGCACACATTTGAAGATTTCAAGACGTGGGGGCCGCGAGTACTCCGTTGAGGTTCCATGTGCGAATTGATTGTTTCTCGCTCAGTGCATGACAGCAACGGGGCACAATGGGTTCAGTGTCCTTCAACACAAACAACCAACCAACTAACTAACCAACCAACCAACCAACCAACCAACCAACCAACCAACCAACCAACCAACCAACCAACCAACCAACCAACCAACAAGCCAACAAGCCAACAAGCCAACAAACACATACACAATCAGGGGAACGTCAGCGTGCTGATCCGGCCTTCGCTCATGCCGTGGGGGTTGCTGGCCAGCGCCGAGAAGCTTTGGCCCAGCTGCTGGCGCTGGCGCTCCACCTGCGGCCGCAGGTCGAGACGTCGAGAACCTTGGAACCGCCTGGCAGTGGAACCGACTAAAAAAAGGCATCTAGGTCCTCCAGTAGGGAGGTTCGAATAAGTCTAGTTTAGTAAAACAAACCTCCCCCCAAAACGGGTAGAAGATACACGTTGACAAAAACTGACGTTTGTCGCGAAGCGATCGTACCCAAAAAACTTGCTGAGAGCTGATCGATCGGACCCTGACAATTACGATTCTAGCAAATAGCAAATGGCCCGGCATCAAACCACTATGCGAAACAGCCTACCCGACCAACCCCCTGTAGTAGAAACATCTTTGCTCTTTGCAGCACCCCCCCCCGCCCAAACATGAACAGAACCAACAGCAACATGCTAAGCACTGCGAAACCGAACCACAAAACAAAAACAATCAGCAACACCTAGGCCAACACCCCCCGCCCCCGTTCGCTCGGAATTCAGGCAACCTCCGAATTCGTGGCCAGAATAGGACCCCTGCAACTTCCAATCAACTTTTTGCCTGCAAGTGAACTGAGGGAAACTCAACAGCGTAAAACGTTCAACAAGCCTCTTTCAGTGAGCTAATGAACCGTCACGCTCTGAATTCCCTGGGCGGTTTTTGTTGCCCCCCCCCCCCCCGCAAATCGAGCGGCGAGTACCTGCCTGGCGCTCGTGCATCTGCATGGCGCTGGCCTCAACCAGTGCTTTCAAGGGTTACTGGGACGGGCACGGGGACAGCAAGCTATATGGTTACAAAATGGTACAAAAGGGCAGAGAGTGGGGAGAGCGAATCTCGGTGGTACCCACTCAAGGGGCATGACATTGAGCTCTCATATGTGCGGCGGTCAAAACATGTGTTGTGGTTGGCTGCCATGGCTGGCTGGGGTGTCGCTCTTCAAGGCCCCCTGTCGCTACACACAGTGCCAGCTCATTTCTCGCATCTCGGCTGGAAGGTCTCAGCTTTTCAGCACCAAAGTAGTACATGAGGCTTGCCTCAACCTCCTTCCTTTCATGCCTTTTCCCCATGGGCTACTGCGGAAGAGATGGTAGTGCTTGCTCGACACACGGGACGGTCACTTCCCGCCGGCTCCTCTACGTCAAGGACATGCTCCTAGCTTTGTAGTACAAGTGTAGCACTCGAAGTACACGTCCGCAGCCCCAGCTTGAAAATCGCAGCTTTGTAGTACAAGTGTAGCACGCGAAGTACACGTCTGCAGCCCCAGCTTGAAAATCGCAACTTTGTAGTACAAGTGTAGTACGCGAAGGGGCAACTGCCTACCTGAAGGGATTTTGGGTGTCGCTCCATAATCTGAAAGGTGTCGCTTTGAGTGTCGCTACGGGTGCCGGATTTTTCCCAGGGGCTGCCGGAACCCTACTTCAAAAGCACAGTGCCTCTTTTTTGCTTGCATCGTCGCCTGTCCCCGCCAAGGCGACGGAGCACCTCTTAAACTGGAACGCTCAAACTGCCAAGACGAGATCCTTCAAACCTGTCTTGCGTCGCAGCCGGGACTTAGACTTCCACGATGTGTTCAGCACGTACTTCCGTTCCCATGCAAGTAAAAAGGTACTTACAAACATGTTCCATGGGGACTTACATACATGCAAGCCCTAAACAGGGGTGTCGCTACTCAAGGCCTTTTCAAAAAACAGTTATGTCACGGCGGCCGCAATGAAGACCTCTACATAACGTGTTTTGACCCTTGCACATATGGGCAAGCGGACGTGAGCACCACACAGGCCTTGGAGTCTGTGGAGGCTATGCTGCGACTACACAGAACGAGCGAACTCAATTCGGACAAGGAACAAATGGCTGTTGGATGAGATCTGAGAGGTTGCCACTACAGCGGCCAAGCCGCTTGTGTCTGCTCCAGATCCCTGTATCCAAAGGTTCGTGGCGGCGGCGGCCCCGCGGCGGCTTGCGGCTCCTGGGTTCGAGGCTTTGGGTGGGAGATGCACATCCTCACTTGAATTGGGGTCTTGTCGAGGGTACCTTTTGCTACAATGGAAGCCAAAAGGCCCCCTATTTTGACACGTACCCGGCTGGATAAGGACCTAGATCATCCACGGGAAACCCAAAGGAGAGCTCATTTAAGCAAACAAGCCGATTTCCGTTGGGCAGTTGACCATCGTTGTGATGTGTCTTTCGTCTCTTTTCTTCTGGGCTGATCAAAATGCTTTGGATTGGCCGGTTCATTAAATGGCCATGTCCTGCAATTGGACAGGTACCCATGCTTTGATGGCATTTGAAGAGAACCATTGGAACAGAACACAGAACTAAGTTGTTGTAACTTCTTGTGGTCGCAGTCCTCCCTTCTTGGTAGCACCCATCTGCCTCTCCTGGGTTGGGGTTCGGCATATCTTGTGCAACCCGGTTATCGGGCTCGCAGAAATGGATAGGATGTCACACACAGACACACACACATTGTCCTGTGGTGCAAGCAGGCAATCGCTTATTTGAACCCGCCTAAACGGGCGCCCTCTGACTATTGGGTTTTAAAACAGGGCCCCAGCTCTTGAAGATTCTTGAAGCCCCAAACAAAAAGGCAACCAGCACTCTCTCTGGTCTGCCTGCGGCTTCTTGGCCCGCAGCTGAGCCTCAAAAGCGACCCAAGGCTGGAAAAACTCGAAATGAGCCAGGGTGACTCGATGGGACTCATATTCACCCCCACTTGCTGATGGCTTCTTGGTGAGTGTGCCAAAAGATGTTATTCCCTTTACTACACCAAGCAATAAATATCGATTGGTCATATCATGACGTTGCAATGGCAGCGTGAGTATCGAATTCATCCTCCCGAAGTTTCCGAGTTCGCTACCTATGCTTTCGCCCTTCACCAGAAAACCTATGGATGATTCTGGATTCCAAATCAATGCATTGAGGGCATCCATTTTTGGGTGGCTTCAAAGGTGAGCAAAAGGAAACCACACATCCTGGGGGGGCCCTACTTCAAGACACCTTTTTTTTTTGCAGAGTGCACTCCACCAGAAACCGATAGGGGCCTACCCACACCTGATACCCTTGTAACGTTCGTCCGTTGCTAGCTTCTGGGGAACCAGGGGTGTGGGCCCAAAAAAGCGTAGAATTTCCTTGTAGCCGGTATTTGAGGCTTTAAGGCTACCCCTTTCTTGGGTTTGTTTTCGAGCTCCACTTGCTTGAGACCCATATTATGGGCTTGTCTTCTGTCCGGGTACAACCCAAACTGGCAGTTTTCCTTTTGGCTTCCCATGTAAAGCCAACAACACATACTTAACCTAAAAAAGAACCACCTCCGCTTGCTCGAAACCCACAATGGTCCCACAATCCTTCGCTTGTTTTGTCTGACCCCAAAAAAGCAAAACCCGCTAAAAAGAAAAGGCCGTAGTAATTTACGATTCCTTAACAACTTGCCCATGCGAGCCCAGGAAGAAGTTACTTTCACGAAGGAGATGTTCACAAGGAATTCAAAGGGAACCACGCGGTAAACCAAGGGGAAACTAAGCCAAAGCGAAACCAACGGTGGGTTTAAACGGAACGAAACCAAAGGGAAGTCGTATCTGTTTCAACTCGATGCCTTGTATTTGTTTCTTGTATTTTGTTTTGTGATTCCGTGTTTCTTGTTGCTGCTAAAAACCACGCCAAACCAATTGGAATACAAAGGGTGGAATCTCTTCTATCTGCTGCCATTTGCTTAAGCCCCCTGGAAAAATACAATATTTCCAGTAGTGATAGATTCCCTTTAAAACCAACAGGAACAAAAAAACAGGGGAAGTCTAAAAGGTTGAATCCAAAGGTGCGCCTCGAGCGCCCGCAGCTGCTCCTGCAGAAGCGGCTCTTCCAAGTGCAGCGCACGCAGCCTCGCAATGCACGCCCGGGGAGCATGGGGGGGGGCTGGGGGGCTGGGGGGGGCTGGGGGAGGGGGGGGAAGCTGAGGGGGGTTGGGGCGTGGCTGCTTGCTAATCTGTTGCACCAGGGAGAGAGCGGATGGCGCAATTCCCATTCTGTGGGTAAGGGGAGGACTAAGCCAAAATCGGAGGAATTGTGCCATCTACTTTCACCCAAGTGAAACCAGACCCTGGCACCCCGTAAAGGGGGCACAGAGGGTGGAACCGTGATCGGGGACTGCAAGACTAACCTGCCAAACGCACCAAACGCGACACATGCTTTGCCGAGAGCGATTTCGAGGTCGCAGGTGGATGAATGCATCGCTTTCTGTGTGGGTGGGCCACTAAAAAACACATCATAATGCAGGCTAAGTTGGAAGAACCTGGCCTGGGGCGGTCAGAATTCAGCCTTCGGGACCCTAAGGATACGCAAAGAAGCTGTCATGAAACCAGTCATTTGGAGGCATCCACTTGCATTTGAGCAATTATCGGGAAATCAAGAAAAGCACTGACGGCCGCCGGTTGCTAATATTCAAGGAATAAGGGCTTAAAACGGCTGCCGAGCCCCAAGCGCCAAGCTACTGAAAGGTAGCAGGAAAAAGGCCATCAAAGTGCACAGGGCTCCCAGTGATTCGATTCCTCCAGTTGTGTAGTAGGCAACCAAGGCATTTCCTGCCCTTTAACCATTACACGGAAAATGGCGGAGGGCCACCTAAAGCTGGCGAAACGACTGGGATCTGGAGCTACTTGCACTTCTCCTTCAATCTCACCCGGCAGGGCAGCTCACAGATGTTGGCAATGGCACGAATATGAAACCTGGCTGTGCATCTGCTTTCGCGTTTGTGGTTCTGAGCCTGGTTGCTCCGGTTTGTATACTTTGCATAGGTTGTTCGCCCCACAACTTGGATAGAACTGGTACGCATGTACTATGGGCTATGGACAGCCGCGTGCCGCGGCCTTTTTTGGCAGCTGTACTTCCATTGGTGCGTCTCTTTGGGCGAATCGATTGTTTCATCAATCTGACTACCGGGATAAGGCTGGCTGAGGCGCGTCAGGTGCATCCCACCAACAATGACATCAGCTTTGATTTCCCAAAGATGTTGCCCTAAAGTGCCCCCCAAACCGCATGATTTCCTCCAAAATGGGACACCCCCCTTACTCAACCACGGATTGATCACTGGCTTCTCACCCAGCAGCTCGTCATCCAGCAAAGTGAGCTGTTGCTTGATGAAGCGCTCGTAGGGATCGTCCGGCCCCGGCAAAGGGCCAAATCGGAAAGTGCTGCCTGGAGTGCCGTCCTGGGAATGCCATTCCGGGTGCAGTCCATAGACTCGCTTAAAGACCCTCGCAAGGGAAAGCAACAGGTTGTTTAAATTATGGCATGGTTCTGGAGAACCACCCTATGATACTGTACCACTATGGGTAATTGCCATTGCTTTCTCACTTCAGGAGCATTGCGACAGAAAGTTGCCTCCGTGTCCACAGCTGCGAATAGTGGCTCTTCACCAAGCAACAATGGCCGTTGGTTTTGGAATGGAATTCCCTCCTTTTGATGGGACAGGAAGTTCCATGGAAAAATGTGTGCTTTTGAAGGAGCGCTTTTCAGATCAAAGGAAATTCAAAAGGTAAAACAACAAAGTTCCCCTATTTTGACACACATGACTCCCCATGTAGATTTGATGTCCACCCAAGGCTTCCCCATGACACATCATACATCACACCCATGTGGCACATCCCTGGCCTCCAAACAAGTCCCGGGCTCTGCTCAGTGGCTTGAATTGCTCCATTCGTTGGCCGCTCTCGACTCTGAGCAAAATACCCTTGCTTGGACTGCGAGTGAACCGAGGGGAACAAATGTCTCGCTCGCCACACCGGAGCTCAGACCGACAAGTGGCAAACCTTTTGGTTTAATGTTAGATAGCGATTAATAAAACGGGAGTGAGTACAGCAAAAAAAACAAAACTCGAAATTATTCACTCTCCTGAAAAGCAAAAAGGGTAGGTATTACAGAAACAAATCTCCCCGAAATCCCGAAAATATGTCCCCTTCCAAGAATAGACTATTTTTGAGGGTTGAAACGTTTGAGTCCATCCAGAAATGTCCAGAATTTCTGGATTGCTTCCTGTCCCAAACCACCAAATTCCTTATCAATTCCTGTACTAGAAGATGCACCCTGACAAATTTTCAAGGGGGTGGCACACGGAACCCCCGGAAGGCAATAATGCAGTTTGTGTAAGGGTAGGGAATTGTGAAAAAATGGCCAGGGCAGCCTGCCAAGAAGAAGAACCAATACTAAACCAATTCTAAACTGTAGTGAGTCAACTGAAAAGAAGAACTAATACTAAACCAATTCTAGACCGTAGTGAGCCAGCTCAAAGGAATACTCAACCAATACTAAACCAATTCTAAACAATACTTACTGGAAAACTACTCAGGCAGGTCCCACTCTGACCCCCATTTTGTTTTTGGGGGGTTCTCGCTATTGACCCCCCCAATTCGTTTGAGGGGGGGGGGAGGGGGGGGGGCCCCTTTATTAATCACTCCCCAACATTACTCATCGGTCACAAAAGGGAACCCAAAGGAGACCGGCACCCTGGGAGGTCCAGGTACTTCTGTTCAGCTCGGAACCCTGATCAACATTAAGCATGGATGAAACAAAGGCTCTACTGGATGGTCCCTCGCCGTGTCCCTGGGCTTTCAACCGAAAGCTCCTCCCCAGGCAGCGGCAAGGGTGACATGCGCCCGGCGGTCTGCAAAGACACATCTTGGGCATCGCCTACGGGCGAGGCCAGCCGAGGCCTGTGGTAGGCATCTGCTCACCAATTCTATTTCATCTTGGTGGGGTGATGAGTGAGGCAATTGCTTTTTGGAGGCACCTTTCCTTGTTTGCTGGGGAGTAGCGAAAGACCCTTGGAAGGTTTCCACGTGGTTTGCTGCTGAATCTTCGGATTAATCCGGGTACCGTACTGATCAGGAGCTGTTTTACAGGGTTCCTCTCGCCGGTAGGGACCTCCAGATTAATCCGAAGTTTCGAATTTTGAGTCTTCTCTCTTCTTTGGGGTTGCCTTTTAGCTTCCTTCTGACTTTTCCTTTCCTCAATCTCCGGCTCCGAGAGGTCCTGTTGCAGCTACACCTTGGGTTCTGCCGTGACCGTGATGGTTGGGGTTACACACGAGACAAAAAGACCAGCGCCACTCACGAACTGGCTTCCTTTCAAAGCGAAGCCATGTGAGCCACGGTCAAAACTACTTCCCTGAGCACATGGAACAAAATCTGTGAGTGCCGTGGGCTTTCTGGGATTCAAGAGCGTCCCATATCTCACCCTAATGGATCATAGACATAATCCAGAAACTTTGACCACGCCTCATATCTCAGTGAGTCCATTGTATAATAGATTCCCTTAAAAACAATAAAATAGATTTCGCTTCTACACGGTGTCTCCGGTTTAGTTTAGACATCCCCCTTTTGGTTTGCTTTAAAGGCAACAGCTACAACAAAGGTTTGTCAAAATAGGGGAACCCCAAAATTGATTTCGGGTTTCCTTTCAGCCTCTGTTTGTCTTTTTTAGGAACCCACAACTCAAAATGGTGGTGTTTTCCTTTTGGATTCCCTTTAAAACCAACCAAAAAGAGGGGGTTTTCAGGATACACCTTCAATCACAGGCAAGACCTGTAGCAAAGAAACGTTCCTGCACCTCAGAGCCCATGCAAGTGCGGCCTCTTCACGTCCTTGAGCGCCAGCCTAGACCCCGGGGGGGTAAAAACAAGCAAGACGTTCACGACGCTCCCCAGCTGCTGACCAAATGTCCCCGGATTCTCGCCTGGCCGCTCTGGCCGCTCCGGCGAGGACCAGCGCCGCCCGGGCGAGAACCCGGGGCTCGAGCGCCCCGGGGAGGGCGGGCGCCCGGCCATGGCGATGGGGCCATGGCCCGCCGAAGATGCGGCCGATGCGGTGGATCTTGGGCTCAGTGTCGGAACCGCTCCACTTTGACTGCCTGGGTGTTTTAAGTAGGGAGGATAGAATGAGGGTACCCGTTTTTAGGTAGTCTGTTTTAGTAGGGGAACCCTCCGCCAAAAAAGGGGAGAGAAGGGCACTACTGGGCCACCTAGCTGCCAAAGATGCGTCGGATGTTGGGCCCAGGCTGTTTTTACCTGAAATCGGGGAAGCTGGAAGCTCAGCTCGCCGAGGTTTACCTATATGTCGCAAAATGGCCTCCGTCGGGATGGCTTGAAAGGGAAAGTAAACTCGGAAACTGCGTGGTTGACGTTTCTGCCTTTTGGGACACCCGTTTGCTTGGGACCTCAGGCTGTTTTTGCTGGAGCCCGAAAGGCTTCGTGCCGTTGGGTCAAGGATTCAACAGGAAAGCGCCGTTCAAGGCCTGGGAGCTGTCATCTTAAAACATTCAAGGTTGCTGGAACGTCAGAAGGAACAAGAATATGTGTGTGTGTGTGTGAGCCTGAATCATCCATCGTAAATTTGAAGCCTCAGTTGAATTGAAGTGGGAGCTTGAATCGGACCCTGTGATTCAACAGCCTGGACCAACTCCATCCAACGCAACGGTAAACTTGTCCCATAAGCACCAGTTGCCAAACACAAGTTCCGGCCTTCACTCTGAAAATTTGTCCACGCCTGAAATGAGGGGAATCCGACAAAAAGGATAAATATCACAAAGTAGGCTCGTTGTAGGCAAGCACCGTGGCAAAGCCACTGCAACTTGCACAAAGCTGGCAAGGGCCAGCAATTTGCTCGCAATCAAGCAACACTTCCTATGACGGGATGTGCTTATTGCTAGAAGGGAAAGGGAAAGTTGCAACTGGCTTACATTAACTGGTAAAACATTGTAGCACCGCGCGGTAAACATTCAGTGTGCACCTCTCGAATCTTGCGATCCCCCATGTCCAACTCCTTGAACTTTGGTCACAGTAGAAAAAACCTTCATGCGGGGAGGCTCGTTTTAGCCTAATGTGAGCTTGTTATAGTTTTCCCTGAAGCCAAGCTTATCAGGCCTTTCCCTTGTGCTAACCTGACATCCACGCTTCCTTTGTAGATTGCATCCAACACGTTGGCTTCAAGGTCTTTCTTCATTAACTTTTGGGGTGTGCAAAAGGTTCCAACGCGTCAGCCACTTTTGCTACCGCGTCAGTATTCTCCCGAGCTCGTGAGAGAGCCAACCTGAATGGCTGGATCGATTCAAGACACGCCTGCTTTTGCGCAAAGCGTGGAACAGTTCCGCCACCGCTGATTCTACGCAATGCACTGACCCAGCACAGTGCGGTACTCAGCCCTCGTTGATCGCCTGGCCGACACAATAGCGAGGTGAATGGCTGAGTTGGCAAATATAGGAAGCGCCAAAGCAAACAATACTTGCAATGGGACTTACGCAAAAACTTATTCATCCAGAGTCCAGCGAGCCATGAAATGAGATCCCAGTTCAAGTCTGATTGGGGAGGTCAGCAAAGCCTGGGACCTGCTTGAGTCTTGGCCCATGGCAAACAAGTTGCTGGTGGCTGATCTCCCGAGTTGTCCCACTTAAATGGCAGTGAAATACATTGAGGCTCTCCGATGGGGAACCTGCGGGTATAGCAAAGCATGTGCTGCAGTGGATGGACGACATCCTGCACCACTTTGAAACCATGGAAAACTATTGTGTTGGTTTTTTGTAGGGGAATCATCCTTCCTGTCATGGCTCTGTGCGCAGACATATTTATATGAACTATATTTTGAGGCGGATGACTAGGTGACCAGGGCTTGAGGCTCCAATGGACGAGCCTCGGGCCTCGGTCTTCGAAATGTGTGGTGTGCGCCGCATCAACTCAACACAATCCCAAAGGATGTCCCTAAATTTGCTGCCAATGTCAAACATTGTGAAGGTCCTTAACTTTGCATTCCAAATGTCCTTAACTCAACACATCCCAAAGGTTGAAGATCTGGAATGTCCAAACATCGTGGAATCGACTTTGGTTGCTGAAAGGGAGCCCTATCTGCGTCAAGTCGCTTCCGGTCCTCTAGACAATTGGAGTGTCGAGCCTTTGAAAGGCGTCCCAGCCGAAAAATACCCAGATGTGCGGTGGTCAAAAGTCCTCCCTTAACAGGACTCCTCACCACGCGTGTCTAAAACCTGTATTGAGGGGTTGACCATTCTTGTCAACCCCTAGTAAGGATGGCGCCTGTTGTGGGCCATGCCACATGTTCAAAACCCGATTCCACCATTAGTCGTTGCCTTTTTGTTTCGCCAATTCGCGAAACCCAACACCATACCTAAATTTAGCCCAAAATCAGGGACTGCAAATCACTCGCAAAAGAGCCAAGGATATTGGATCCTCACCTGATCTCCTCTTTGCAAACAATGGGCTTCCATAACCCCCTCCCCCGCGCTTCTCTGCTCCGTCCTGCTGCGCTGTCCAGAGGAGGTCGGACTTCTGGCCATTCTGCAGCGTGGCTCGTTTGCAGGGTTTGGCTTCTCCTCCGCACTTCCTTGAAATAAAGTTCAAGTGAGTAATCAAACCTAGTATACAAACAGTCTACCCATTTTTTTTAAGAGTTTAAAGGGCGACAGCACCTATTGCTGGGACGGTCCTTCACTGTCCTTAATCGGGTTTTCGGAGCAAAGTTCAAGTCTGGGAACATGTGTGGGGAATTGTGCTTGTATGGTACAGTCCCTGTTCCATAATCACATACGTATATATTACTTTGGGGGTGGGGATAGGGTGTAATTTCGAGGCGATGCTCTTTTCCCAATCAGAAGAGTGAGTGACATCCAAAGTCTCTGTATGTTTCGCCGATCTGGAGACCTTGCGCCGAAGAGGCAAGCTTTCTTCCAAGAACTACTGGATCACGGCGATTCCCTTGCGTAGCACCAAACAAGGCCCTAAAGCAATATGTTTTGCAACCCAGTACAAACTTCATACTTTGCTCTGGTTTACCCTTGACATGTTTGTGCCGGGCGGTTCTTTTAGGTTGCGTAAGAGGGCCACATACGCTGCGTGGACGTGAAACCCTATAGAATCTACAAACATGTTGCCGTTTGATCTCATCAGGTTGCCAGGACTACCAAGTAATTAATTGTAAACAAATGTTGACCCTGTGGTAAACATAGCATCGTGGTGGACTACTAGGATGGTGTTCCCCGCTAAAATGGGATACCACCAAAATGAATAAACCAAGGGTCATTCATCCTGGGTTTGCGTTGGGTATTCAAAACCCGTGCTGGTATGTGTGCACGGACTTGATGCGCACAATGGCCGTCAGGGCTTTCCATAAAAGTAGAACACCTGTCCCAGGACCTGGAATGTTAAGCTCTGACCTTGACTCAAAACGGACCAAGGGAACCCCGAGAGGCCGAACAAACAGCTAACCACCGACGGGAACATGCCTTGTACCCATGGGCAAACATCCGTTTTTTTTTTTTTTGGTGTGTTTTCTTTCACGGGACATGAAGTTGCAGCCGGGGAACGGGGTTCGGCCTGGGTGTTGGGGTGACATCGGGCGGGACCCCCCCGCTCTCGTTCAACTCATCCACAGAATGACTCATAATGTCGCTTAATGAGCCTTACTGGATCCTCATGCAAGATCATTTCCCCCCGAAGGGACCTGCCGCCGTGTGGCACAATTGCCACTAACGGAAATATGGGGTGGGTAGGACCGGGGCATGCAAAAGCAGGAGTCCCCCGCACAAAGAGGTTCTCAAAACGACTAGACACTTTTTGGTCGCTTTAAAGGGAAGCCAAAAGGGGGAAACAAAACGTTCTGGTGTCCCTGTCTTGAACAAAAATATGGGTATGTCTAAACATAAACATGATATACCGCTCCGAACCCGGATCCCGAACCATTCAGCACGAGACATCAACAGACGCACGGGCTTGTGTCAAAATAGACGACCCCCCCCCCAAACCCACAAAAAAGGCAATTAAATGCTTGGTTCCCCTGTTGTTTTCCCCTTTAAAAAACAGGGAAATGATTGTTTCCCGGTTGGTGTTCCCTGTAAAAAGTCGCTTCAAACGGGATATCCTCCAAAACGGTCACATCACCTCCATCCGAACCCAGCCGATGCCCGGGCCGTGTCCAGGCCGTTCTCCTCCAGCCAGGCCTTGAGCTCATTCACCTACGAGCTCTGGGGGTGGCAAATCGGTTGACGCCGTGAAAGTGTTTTTTGCCTTGGCGCACCCGTTGCGCAACTAGGGGACCCCCCAAACAAAAATGTGTGCGCGTGTCTGTGCCCCTTTAGCTCTAAAACGGGCACTCGACATACCCCAATAAATGGGTGTTGTTTAGTGGGAGTTGCTACCCTTAATAGGTCTTCTTCTTTTTTTACGGGACACTGAAGCGACAACCGGCCCTTTTTTGATGGGGTCGAACTCCCTTTTGACACAGAATGCTTGGATCTTTCCGGGGTATGCGCATCCGTCGGCAGGGAACGGAACCCCGAACTGAACGATCCAGGCTCATCCCCAAAAGGATGGTTGAATAGAGCAAATTCACAAAACAAAGTCATTCTTTGGTTTGCTTTTGCAAAGGTTAAACATTGAGGCTTATTGAACATTGAGGAAAGTTGAACTTGGTGGAAAGTTAAACAGAGTGTGTTTCAAGCTTCCGGGTTGGGCAAAATGTGCTTTAAACAACCAGCCTCTAGCCCCCTTGAATGAACAATCCATGCTATTTGATTGCCGTCTTCTTCAAGTTCATACACCCTGCTTTGTCTTGCGTCCCATAACTTATGATAAATTAAACTCATAAACAAGGCAGACACCAGGGAGAAGATGACGGTTGTCTGAAATTCCTTGTTCCGGAAACCGCCATCTTCGCGAGAAAAACAATAACTTTCGCGGACCCCATCGCGGAACTTTCGCGGGGCTGTTTTCAGAACATTCATCACAAAAGTAGTACATGAAGTACACTTTCGCAGCCCCAGCGCGAAAGTCGCAGCTCTTCAGTGCTTGAATTGGATAGTAGTACACGAAC